TGCTAACCAAAAGGTCTGCCGTTCGAATCTACCAGGTGTTCCTTGGAAACTCTACAGGGCAGTTCTACTCTGTCCTGTAGGGTCACTATGAGTCAGAATTGACTTGACAGAAACGGGTTTGGTTTTTGTTTTTTTTGGTTAGAATTCCCTATTCCTGAGTAGTTACGTGATTTTAGGCAACTCAGTTCCTCAGTCTTACATTTCCTCATGTGTAAAATTGAGAAATAGTAAAACCTTGTTGTGAGGTTTAGAAATAATGTGTATAAAGTGTCTGGCATATTAGTAGATCTTAAAAAAATAGAAGATAGGCATTATTGTTGGTTCTGGAAAGTCAAATTTCACTTTTTTTCCCCTTAAGATTTAAAAAATACTTTAAATCTTACCTTGTGACAGAAACTGTTCCAACTTGTTTAAAACATTAGCTCGTTTCAGCATCATAGCACTCCTATGAGGTAGGTACTATTATTGTCATTTCCATTTTACTGCTGGGAAACAAAGCCCGGAGGTGAAGTAACTTGCCCAATGTTGCATGGGCAGTAACTGAAAAAAAGTGCAGGGATTTCACACCCAGGAACTCAGTTCTAGAGTCATGATTCATATCTGCTACATTCTATTCTCCTCAAACCAACCACTTTTTCATTAGAAAAAGTCTATAATTGGCTACTCTAAGAAATAACGTAGTGATTTAATGACTTTGCTAATAGAGAAATTATAATCTGTCTACTGTTCTCTGCGCTGGAGAATAGGCAATTAGCGACTGAGTAAAACATAACCTTTACTTCCTTTGAGTCATACCTTTGTATACATTGATAATCTTTTATACAAAGGTGTGGTTCACTGCCTGAGGTTCTCCGAGTTCAGGGGCCTTTGTTTACAAATCCATCTGGGAGGAAGCCGCTCTGTAGAAGATCAAAGGTGGGCTGGTACTGACTACTGAGACTTTAAGCACTGTCTAAAGGAAAAGCATTACCCAAAGAGCAGGAAATAGGCATATCAGAGTCTGTGGCTTACACCTTGGATATACTGTACTGTGTGATGTTAGAATACAGGAAACTGACAAACTAGTGATTCCCATTTCTGGGCATCTGCAGCAGCTCTATTCTGACTCATGAGCAAAGGGAGTAACTCCCTAAGAAACAGAGAAAGGAAGGAGAGAAGACAACAGAATAATGTCCAAGTATCTGGGTTCTATTCAGTTACTACTGCCCACAAATGACATCCAAAGACGATGCCACCCACAAAAGAAAGGCAAAAGTGTGACCATCTAATCAGATGTGGAAAGAAATTAGCCAGCAAGATGGTTTCTTCTTTTCACAATGATGCTTGGAAAAATAGACACAGATAATATCTGAAGAACTGTTACAAATACTGCTCCTCTTCCTCACTACACCTGCGACCTAGGTAACACCAGGCACTTTTATCAATACCAGGGCCCAGAAGAGACAATTGAGAATCAGAGAATCAATGGTCAGGACACAAAGAGTGCTTTAGAGGAGCCTGGGATTTAGCTCCATTTTTGTTCCACTCAGATTAAAACTGTTGAATACTGGAGGGTCAGCTCATTCACCTCCAGGTGAAAACCAAACTTATTTCACAGATCTCCGAAACACTCAGAACTTAACACTGGGTATTGTTTCTCCCTTCTTTTAGAGATGAGGAAATGAAGCTGTGGGGATCTGTGCGTACTTGCCCAGACCAGCAATTGATGTACTAGTGGAAATGTTAGAAACTTGACAGTATTTTATACTCTTAGGTTGATACTTTTTTTCCTAACTTTTTTCCTCTAATAGGCTTTAAAAATAACTGTACCTCTTGTGCAGTCACCATGCATCTGTCAGTGTAGCTTGTGTGTTGTTATGGTGCTGAACGGGTTTCAGTGGCGCTTCTACATTAAGATGAACTAGGAGGGAAGGGCTGGCAATCAACTTCTGAATTTCAGCCAATGAAAGCCCTATTCATTACAACAGTCCAATCTATAATGGATCTTGGGAATGGTACAGGACCGAGCAGTGTTTTGCTGTCTTGCGCATGGGTCACCATGAGTTGGGGGGTCAACTTGACAGCAGCTAACAATGACATAAAGACAAAATACCATGACTTGATTTTGTTTTGGAGATAGCACATGTGGCATAGTAGAAAGCTTATGGGGTTTGGCATCAAATCAACCTAGATTTCAATTCCACCTCAGCCACCTAACAGCTGTGTGACTTTGGGCAAGTTACTTGTCTCATTGAGCCTCAATTTCCTTTTCTACAAAATTCAAATGAATAGATGAATACAGTATTTATATATGGTAGGTTGTTGTAATGATAGAGTGAAGAAACTCATCAGAACTAGGTTTAATAAAACACTGACAGAAAAATATATCGTGAGTTAGAAAATGATACATGTCACAAGAAGGGTTTCCTCAGAGCAAGAAGAGGTAGTACTTGCATAAAAATTCATGCTTGACCTTACTTGTTTCCTGTTTTTAAAGAAGTTATAAAATTCTGTGGGATTCATATACAACTATAACTATATTAAAGCATACACATTTTTAGTGTTCATTCTTATGTATTTCTCTCAGTAATATATAGTATGTCCCTTTAGCCTATAAACTATAATAGGGCATTTTTGGCTTGGTGTAATTTATCTTCATTTTCTACAGCACATGTATAAAGCATATAAAAGAGCCCTGGTGGCACAGTGGTTAAGAGTTCGGATGCTAACCAGAAGGTCTGAGGTTTGAACCAACCAGCTGCTCTGTAGGAGAAAGATGTGGCAGTCTGCTTCCATAAAGATTTACAGCCTTGGAAACCCTATGGGGCAGTTCTACTCTGTCCTATAGGGTTGCTGTGAGATGGAATTAACTCAATGGCAACGGGTTTGGTTTTTTGGTTTGAAACACATCAAGGTGTCTCATATTTGAACAAAATTACGATACAGTTGATCCCAACATACAGCAGGCCAACTTTCAGGGTTTTTGTCGAGGAAAGATGGGAAAAGCAGTTGAATTAATAATTAAGAATTTCTTTTTGGTATTACTACATTTTCTAGATTAGGCTTTGGTGCAAAATTCTTCATTGCCTTTTATGTAGCCTATTAATTACTCACTTTTTGTAGATCTATGAATTCTCTGAATTTGTTTAAGAATGATGGTGTACTATGGGGGATTCTGGCCACACAACATACCCTACCCATGGGCTTATATTGTCTTGGAGAGTGAGCTGATATTTTATTTTAAATTTTAAGTCCTTCTCCAGAAAGCACTCTGTTCATCTGCTAAGGTCCCTGCTGGAGGCACATGTTACATACACATTAACTTGAATCAAATGAGATGTCTTTATGCTCTCAACTCAATCTATTTTTGAAAATCAGAACGAACTCATTAAGCAATTACCTGGCCCTGGCTATTTAAAAATTCTGTTACTAGACTGGGTTCTAGGCACACACTTCTGGCCTAATTTTGCAGAACGTGTCATCTCTGAGGGTAAGTAGCTGTGCTAGCTTTGTGTAACTGTGCCCTCCTCCAGAAATTACGGTACTTGGTGCTGGACTGTGAGCTCCTCTGGGCAGAAGCCATGGTATTCAAATTAAGGCTCAGAATTTAGGTCTGCCACAAAGTAGGCAATTTAGTAAGCTTTTCCAATAGGGTACAGTGCTATGAGTGCTTTTGTGCTACTAACAGGGCTGGGCGCTGAAACTAGCTCTAAATATCCAAAGAAAAACCACTCTGACCCACCCTGGCCCATCCTCAAAGTACCAGTTTCTGTGTGCTGTATTCCCTGTCTGAGGAATTTTCATTCATTTTTAATTCTCACAATCCTTGTATTATTTTACTTTTGTTTTTAAAATTAGTTATACATGCAGTGCAGAGTTCACACATCTTAAATGTCCAGCTCCATGAGTTTTTACATGTGTATACACACCTGTAACTACTACCCTGATAAAGATTAAAGAACGTTTCCAGCTCCCATCAGATTCCCCTTCTTTATTTTGAAGCAAATCTCTACACGTTTTTACCAATTATTACCATGCTGTGCGCCATGGGGTCGATTCGGACTCCTAGCGACCCTGTATTACCATACAGCACAATAAATGTAATAATAGATATGTCAATCTAAGTGATGTGGAAATTTGTTCATCTAAACATACTCTCCCCCCCCCC